TCCGAAGATAATATGCTGAATTACGGCCATTGTCAACGTCAGAATAAATGTCGGTGCCAAATGGACGATCGCAATGAGTTTACTGGCATTTCCACAAATGGTGCGGCTCACAATGGTACATGGACAGTACTGCTCATAACCCGTTAGTGATCTCTCATGATTGCATGTCAGGTGTTTAATTGTCGTGATTTGGTTTTATAGCCAGCTTAGTAATTAATGAAGTGAACAAAAAGTTCAGCTCTCCCCTGTCCATGGTCAGCCTGCACCGTCTTTTGCTGATTTTGAATTAGCTTGTCCTTAAGTGTGACAACCTGGCACGGTCATTTGCGATATTCAAATTTAGGGACCGTGCCACATATATGACATCGGGTTTAGAGAAACTGAGATGGGAAGTCAAGCATACAATTTCTTAATTATATGTAATCGACGTTCTGTTTTGTTCATAAAATTCAAGAAACACGTTAAATTTATCCACAAATGTCCAGTTAATCCCACCCAAAATGGTGGTTTGTATCTGACCAGTTAGGCAACTTTCATAACTTTCTTTGCGGCACCAATGTTTAGGTTATTTCTTGAACAGCATAAGGTATGTGAATGGTACAGCAACACTAAGTTGATACACAATTTTTTTCCTAGGTTTTTTAGAATCTGACTGTTTTCAGTGTGTTTAACCGCAGAAATTTGGTTGGAGGATTTATGCAAAATGTTGCATCCGAAGATTGTCAAACTCGGCTCCATATGCTCTCCATCTTTGGCAAATAAAATGTTGACTTGACATGAATCCAAAAGGGGATGATAGCATCTTTCTTCAATCTTTTACCTAGAAAACAATTAATTTTAGTGCATCACACGTGTGGCATGTGTTCTTTTAGTTTAGGATAGTTGATAGCCCCCAGTTTAGAGTTTTGCATAGATGCAGGCTGTTTCTTGTCGGCAGTGCAAGGGTTGTAGCGGTCGATTGTCCTCTTCAATCTTGATAATCCACGTGATTGCTCCATATGTGATGCCACTTCTAGGGGTTTTGGAGGACCTCGAAGTCTTTTCTCATCAGTCGGTATAATGTTAGTGCTAGTAACTCCTTCCTTATGTAATCTCCAAAAGGTTCGCATTATTTCTATATTCACGCAAAGACATGTTGGATAGATTTTTGGCTATATGGAAAATGGCAGGAAATATAGGATGTTTCACTTACTTTACCTCGAAATCGGTGCCAATTATTCTTGCCCTATCTAAGCACTGTTGTGTTATCTGCGTAATTTGACCTTATTACCTTGTGACAGCTGAGTCCATCAAATGGATTTTTATGATTACGGTGAATGTTAACTGCACCTACTCATTTGCTTTTGGGGATTCTGGCCTGGGTGAATTTCTGTTATTAAGATTAATAATAAGTGTCGCCTTTTCTTCAACCTACCATCTGGTGCCTCCAAATTAGTCGTTTTATAACAGTCATCAATGCTAATATATTCACTTGACCTCCTATGAAGTCAGGGCAATTTTATGTAAGTCATTTTGGATATGTGTCGTCTGGCAGGAATGCAGTAATACGATCCCGGTTTTAGTGCCTGTCTATTGTTTGACTCGTCTTGAATAACAATTGCGTGGACGTCTACTGCTTGGGTCTGTGACAAGTCAAATGTAGGAATGGCAAACATCTGAAGTTCTAAGAATTGTTCTTTTCCCTGCCAACGATTTAAACAGGAGCTAGTCCATGTTTAGTAATCTGCCTAATTAAATTCGTCTGGGTTGAGAGTGTAAATGTTTATTTTCCACATTATGATGATGTGTTGGATGCAATGTAGGTCCCTTGTTTGCCTTAACCTCAGTGCTTTTTATTATGGGGTTGATTGTGTGCTCCATAACCTATCTTGTCTCACGGAGATAGGGCGTCTTGAGAGAATGGTTGTACTTCTTTTGAGTAATTTAAAAGTCTTTAGCCCTTTTGAGCTATGAATCAGGTGTGCCGTGAATTAACTCCCGTTCCACTTACACCTGCCGCCCTCCTCTGCGGACTGCTTAGTTTAGTCCTTAGCCCCTAGTATCTTTACTCACCTATCATTCACTTGCAGGTTAATAGATTAAGTACCCAGTCTTTCTCTTTAGTGTGTCCGTCAGGTGTTTTCATACAAAGTGATCTGCTTGACCTCACTGGGGGTGGCTACATGAGTAATCTGTTTGGATGTCGGCTAATGCAAATGTAAGATGAGATATTCTGCCTGCTGCTGCATTTGCCAGCATTAGCAGCAATGATGCCATGAGTAAGTTGTGGGGCCTCATTTTGTACCGTGCACATGAATTCTCCAAAAATTAAACTGATGCTTCTAATCAAGATGGCAGGTAACGAAGGCATCAAATCCGATCCCGTGCATTTCTACTTCAAGCCCAGCACAGCAATGGGACACGCAATCTTGCACCGGTGCGTCATTCGGAGATGATGTCGACGTCTTGATGACGATCGCAAAAGGCGAACTGTTATTGGCGATTGTGGGAGTGGTGTTTTTCCACCCAACCGACTGAGCATTTATGTGTGTGAACATACAATTTGCATGATCAAAGCTTAAATCATTCATTGGTGGAACTGCGCAAGATTAGTACATTGCATTGGCTTTTGAATGCGGAAATTCTTGATTTCTGAAAAGTTACCGCAAACGCTGCATTCAAATGATGCAGTCGCATTGACAGGTCTCTTCGTGTTTCACGCTTCTAGGTCAGAGGATACGTGGCTGGGTGTAGAAAGGGGAAGGTTTTATTTTTCGCATTTTGTTGATTTTAACTTCCCTCTTCCACCATTGTTCTCTTAACACGATTCTTGCTTGATCTCACACGTCAAATATGTGCGACGCCTTTGTTTTAAAAATTGGAAGGCAGATCGAATGGGATGGAATGCACCAATGGTCATACATGTCGTGACAGTAAAACACGGTGGATAATGACTGATTTCTTCTCTTGTTAAATTCATTTGATTCTTGACGGCGGCCATGAGGATGAAAGTATTAGCTCGATGCTTCGTACGCAGTTGCAGCGGCTCTCACTTACGGGGTACGCTAATTGGATTTCTCTCTGGCACCTTTTTGGTAATATTAGGCGTTGGATTATTGGCCTAATTATATTGTCTTCTGCGTCGTCGCAAGCAATCACCATCGGTAGTTGACGAGGCACACGGTGTTCTGTTGCCACCGCTGTCACTACCACCGAATTTAGCTACCGCAGGTGTCCACGCGCCTGCCCTGGATTTGCGTGTACGCACCTACCTGGCGTCCGTACCAAAGCCTTGAGTGTCGTCTCCAGTGTTAAGTTTAGTCCGTTCTGATTCGTTTGCAACCATTCCCGAGCCAGGATCGATGACACGGTGTTTTTTTGCCTTTGAACACTGTCTGGTGGTTATGGTACATTCTGTAAGCCTGTAACATGAAGCACTGGAATGGTGGGTCTTTTTCTTCTGGCAGCGATTCCAAGAGGGACAGCGCAAGATTGCCTAAACCACCCACCCTCTCCATCCCTGTTCACCAACTCGCCCTTTCCAAGCTGTGATGATGTCTCGGTAATTATGTGTCGCTACTTTTTTTCGTTAGTACATAATATTGTACACATTTACTAACTTTTGTTCGAAATGCAAAGAAATATGTAATGTCAAGCGAACTCGTGGAGAGAAATGTTCATTTTCTTGTTGATCGAAGTTAACGAAGTGTGTGAGGCAAGACGATAGGTTCTAAGCTGAGGTGTTGCCATCTCTGGTATCGGCGAGTGGAACATTTGGGTTCGAAGCCCTTTGAATTCAGATGTACTCTCTAGCATAAGTAAATGCAAGATCTGAAAGATGGTTATCATAGACAGCTTAACTAAGAAACCGGTTTGCGAGCACTCTGATAAGTGTTGCGATGCTGCTTTTGTGTTGCTGTGAGTGTGATGGGAAGCCTTGGTGGTGGCAACGTGTGAGGTATAGCGAAGCAGAATAGTGCGGAGCGATTTCTTCCTCCCACTGGTGCTTACCTGTACCGTCACTTGGTCTCTTTTCTCTTACGGTATTTCGTTTATTTTCTTTTTGTCTGCACGTGTAATTTTGCTGACCCTTAACTCTATTGTTTTTGTTCGGCTCACTTTTGTCCACGGTATCTTCTAACTGCAATTTCTTCTGCTTTGGAGATTTGTTATCTAGTTATTACTATAATTTTATGGCTTTATATTTCTAACGCATTATCGCTTTTGAAGCTTTGTCTTTTCTTTCTTCAATTCTTTTTGACTGCATTGCTTTGCATTTTTGAATTTGTTAACGTAAGATAAATCCTTGTCGACAGGTGCTCTGTGGAAGGTAGAAGCAACTATGTACGGTTTCCTCTCTTTCTTTTTTTAATTACTAAAATAGTGGGCTTCAGAATTTGTTATTTTCCTTTATGTGTGCGCAATTCAATTCCCTTGTACATCATGATTACAGTGGCTTCAACGGAGAGAAAGGGGAATGTGAGGGGCTTTGTTTTTCACTCCACTAATGTTTCACGACCTGGCATTGCATCCTCTCTGTCAGTGTTCTACGTTGCTTTTGCAAGTCAGTGTCTCCTTATGGCAGTGCCGCCTTAGCAAGGAGCAGACCGTATAGAGTGTAGCCTTGAAAAAATGGGGTGGGTGGGATGTAGAACGAGATAGTTGCTTCATTCTTTTTTTCTATTCTTTCAGTGCCGAAACCGATAGGCATTGGAGCCTTTGCTTGCTTATTCCAGCTCTTGTGTGAGGCAGCATGCCTGATGCTGTGGCACTTGTCATGTTGTACAAATTTGGCAGACTTTCTGCGAATGCTTTTCCTACTTCTCATCCTCAAATATCCATATTTTCTTATTTGTGCACCCCTTCACCTTTCTTGCTTGATAGAGCACAAGGTCCACAAACTACGTTTCCCTTCACGCCTTCTCTCTCATTGTGAGCAAACCTGCTGAAGTTAGTGCTTGACCTCAACAGCGCCTCTTGAAGCTGTCTTTGCCTCTGTGAAGTTGCTCTTGATGAAGTGCACGACTGTTTCGCTGCCAAGGCAGCCGCCAAGGTACCTCTGTCCCATTTTCGTACTGATGCTTTTTTCGAGAGGTTTGTAAATCCTCTTTTGCGAGGGCGGCATTTTCCAGTCTTTGCATTTTTTTTTCAAATTTGTCTGCCTGGGCACCTGTGAACATAATCTTTTTTTGCTCTGATTCGCTGGAAGGCATTATTTGTTATAATATTCAGTTTTAAATTCATATCGTATTTGGTTGTCATGCTTTTCATAAATTTATCCAAGATCTTGTTGACAGGGAATCTGTTTTTGCAGACAAGTAGATTTAAACACTAAAAGCTTTGCATGGATTTGTTGGTGATTCCTATCATCTGTCTTGTAAGTGCTTGATCCACATTAATAAGTAGAATTTAATTTCAAGAAAGTTCTTCTTACATTTCCCTAACAAGAGAAACCGCTTTTCTGTAAAATCAGTCGCACGCTAAATGTATTTTGCAGGTCCTGCTACCATTCACCAAACCGACCTCCTCCAGTAGCTAATGAATTGTCGTGGCATGTTGCGGCTGTATAAAAATGGTGCTGGTTAATTTGTTGATATATTTTGCGTTCATCATTTTCGCAGGTGTAGGCGCAGCTTCACCTAACGTGGCGTCGAACTACAAGGAGCCAGAGTGCCGTGCTGTCTACCCTGATGGCCATCTAGTGGACTCTGCGGAAATGGACAACGACCTTCTGTGCAATGAGTACTTGGCACACAGCACAGGTCAAACCAAACAGCCTTACCTCGTCTGAGTCGACTCGCGATTCACTTCCTAGCGATTGCGATGAACGTGAACAAAATGTTATTTCTCAGTGTTAACATAGTAAATACCAACAATAATAAGTCTTCCACAGTCATTCAATTTTGTCGTCGCAATAATTGGTTGGGAATTCCACCTTGCCCAAGGCTGTTTTACGAACATATTCTCACGCGCCTGTATGCCGGTACCAACTCCTCCCTGGATCAGTAAAACGGCATGAACTGTTGTTTATTGCGTCGATGCAATGCCAAGTACAGTTGTCTAATCTACTGGGCAGCAGAGGAAGTTCTTGTGCTTTCCATCTGTTGGAACTGGGAGGAACGTATAGAGCGCGTCATAATACCCCTTCAGTGTGGGACACTCACTACTGCGTTTTGTGCTGCTTACACATCTTGAGGATTTGATATTAAGGAATGGCATTTAAGCCCAGTGGCTGCATTTAGGGTTTACTCGCTGCGCATAGTGAACCCAACCACCATAAATTCTGCACCACAGTGTTCCACAATAATGCCCTGACAAATCGACTTAAGCAGATGGTTGGCTTTTGATTGACCAGTGGTAAATAACACGCAGTAAGGCAAAGGTAAGAATATAAAGACACACAGAAGCAGTTACTCACTACATTACAATGTGTAGGCATAACAGATTCGTTTTTAAATCAGCAACAATTTTTTGCACTTAAAAAGCAAACATGCTTTTAAGTAATGACAGGAATTCATTAGAATGTCACAGACCCAAATTTTGAAGACCTATTTTCTAGCATAAACTTACGAACTTCAGATTGGTTGCAAATTAAAAGCACCTCTAAGAGAAGTTTGGAGTACTTTTCCTTATAAATTGTTGAGGGTAGATATTCAAATGCGCATAATTAGACATAAACACAAAACCGTTAATAGAACTGTCATTTTGCTTGGTATAGCAGTGACGTTCTCCTTTATTTGAATTTTGTGTAATGCCTTTATTTGTGCGCTGACAGCGCATAAAAAAGGAGTGATTAAAATTAGCAGACGTATTTCAGTATAATTTAAACGCGCGGTATTTGGAATAGTATAGGTAAGTCAAGACAAAAAAATTAAAACAAACTGCTAAATTCTCGCTTAATGATTATTTGTAGGTGGCTGTTCTCCATATTCTTGCCACTAAATATTCACTCCGTTGCATGCCGAATGGCGTCGTCGCCCGTTTATCGTAGCAAAGTCTAAATTATCGGAGTTATTCCCTGCTAATTGATAACTTCATTATGAACAACATAAAATCGAACAAAAAAATGGAACCAAATATTAAAAAAACCTCTTTTTATCTTTTTGTGCACTTCCTTGTTTTTAAACAAACGCTAGTTGGATGCATTTATGAAATGACAATATGAATTCTGCCGTAGCTGAGAGAAATAAGGATCAGCAGATGTTTCCTAAACGTTTCTGTATTATTCAGGTGACGATGCTTGCAGCACACTTTCCTTAAGGCACAGGGTGGCTGCAAAGAGCACTTTCACATAACGTTATGTTTTGCGAGAGTGTAAATGGATTGGTCTGGGTTTTATGGAGGTTCCAAACAGAGTAATAAGGAAATGAACACCAGAAAGCAAGATCCTTGATGCTAAGGCATTCCGCCTCACTCAGTTCTACTCTCCTACCTTCTACTACATTGCTAAACAAAGTGCTACTAGAATCGCAGCTCGAATGACATGGTGGGAAGGTCATACCGACAAAGAATTCTCTGCTGCTAATAAATCACCTTTTACACCAATTGTGTAGTAAATGTGTAGTAAATGAGATTTAGGCTCTGGAGTTGGGCTAATAACTGATCTCTTTTTCTCTCCTCTACCCATTTATCTTCAGCTCCATCCATCTAGCTATGCATAGACTATCTGGCCATCCAGCTATCTGTACAACTACCTTGCAAGAAGCAAATGGTTATAATGAATCTTCTTCCTTCGTGTCATAAATGATTTCGTTCATTGCATTACTCATCAATTTATTCGCCCCTATTTTTTATCTAACTTGACGGCTGGACAACGGTCTGGATAACTGACTGACTGATTGGCTGACCTGCATCTACTTGCAATATTCAAATCGCTAAAGCCTGGACTAGAATACCGGTTCATTTTGAGGAACAGAGCGTCTGGTAGTTTTCCTTCTCTTCTGTGCCTACCGCATCCACATTTACATCCTACTTTGCTTCCTACCCTTCATCCTCCACCTCCTCATAGAGCTCAACCCCCATATTCGCCTCCGCCTCCGCCTCCACCTTACTTGTCACTAGTTGGAGGATTGGTAGTCATACTACAAAAAGGGATGACGACAAGATAGATGTGCATTTGGACTGGGGATGACAGCGAAGGCAATTATCCGCACAGCTTTGGTAAGACGAGAAGACGTCGTCTTTCATGCGTAAAGGCACACAGAGAGAAACAGACCCCAAGCTCTACATGTACTGAGTGTGAAAAAACCAAGAGCTGGACAATTGATTGCCGAACGCAGTATTGGTAGTAGATGAAGAGGAAGAAATGAAGAATTGAGAAGAGTTGATGGATAAGCTTAAAGTGGAGTGACGAATTTCGTGCATATTATGAGCAACTCGGGAGCAATTTAAAAATTATTTTTAGTACCATTTAGACGTGCTGCTATTTATAGCCTTATTGACAAACAAATTAGAACAAGGATGGCGCCAGATGTGAAACTGGTTGTACACGCAACTGTAGTTGTAGGTGTGGAGTGTATTTGAACACATAAATTGACGTTCTTTTAAATGACCAGTTAACTGGTTAGTGAAATGCATATAGAAGGAATTTGGTGTAAAGGTGACTGATTGGTAGTAAAGGAATTATTGTCCGTGTGAGCCTTCCACCATGTTATTCAAGCCGTGATTCTAGTGGCATTTTTTTAGCAATGTAGCAGAAGGTAAGAGAATAGAATTGAGTAGGGTGGAGTGCAACAGCATCAAAAACCTTGCTTTCTGATGTTCATTTCCTTATTAACCCGTTTGTAACCTGTACAGAACCCACGCCAATGCATTTACACAGTCGCAAAACATGGCGTTATGTGAAAGTGTAGTTTGCAGCCACCCTGTGCCTTAAAGAATGTATGCTGCAAGCGTCATTACCTAAAAAATGCAGAAAGGTTTAGAGGTATTTGCAGATCCTTATTTCCCTTAGCTACGACAGATTTCATATTGTCATTTTATAAATGCTTCCAACTAGCCTTTACATAACAAGTAAACGCAATGAAATTTCGAAATAATTTTTGTCATATTTTGTCTAAATTTTTTAATATCCATTTTACCTTTCT